TTGTTATTTTACGGTGATAATCTTGTTTTCTTGTGCCCAATAATGCATAATTTAATTTGATAAACACGTTTAGATTGAATGGTAATTTATAATCAGTCACAAGAACGTCGAATCTGAATCACTTGAAAAAAACACGGGGGTGCTTAACTTTTTTCCAGGTGTTATATTTTCACTTGTTCATCACAATGAAATTATTTTAACGTATTTTTTTGTTGTTGTTTTAGATCTATAGGAAAGAGTAATTTTCTGCTGCACGGTGTCAGTTCGCTTACCACACATCCTTCGGGAAGCACGAGCCCTCGGATCCACGGTCCGGAACACTAACCACGAGGCCACACCCGGCCCCTTTAAATCCCGACTCGCCTACTCAATTCATTAAAATCTTTCACCAGCTTTCCTATTTATAACCGAACGTGTTCTTTATAAAATTTCCTGAATTTTTAGGGCTAAGCTTGCAAATATTCTTTTATTGTACAACAAACCATCGTTCAAACAATGTCTACATCAATTAGCACAACCATGGCGCCTATTGGCTGAATTTATAACACATACTGTTGTTGTCGTTTTTTTTGTTTGTTGTTGTTGTTTTTTAGTGCACAGTTATATAATGGGCTATCTGCACTCTGTCCATCGCGCGGAATTGAACCCCGGATGCTAGTAAGCTCATAAACTTACTGTTGACCCATTGGGGGATGTAACACATACAACGAATATTTAAAATATTTATATAACAAAATAATGCAAGATATTTTTAAATACTTAACATAAAGTAATTTAGGAAATAACTTTTATTTTCCACAGAATAAATGTACTTGTTCTTCAAATTTAATCTGTATCAGTTTTAAGAAAGCCGGTAGCGAATATTTTTACCTCTCCGTCTTGATGTGGTGAGTGTGGTGTTCATTGTCGAGTATTTATCACAAGTTTCGTTAGGCTGATACTCCACGCTTTCTCCTGTATTTTCTGTTATTTAAAAAAAAAGAAATTACAAAAACAAATCTTCGTGAGCGAAATTTAAAACATGCAAGTGAAATAGCACAACCTTTCTCATACGAATATCAAATTTTAAGAAATCAAAAATATATTCATATAAAAACTTTTTTTTTTTATGAAAGCAAACTCTATGTTTCGAATTATCATTACTTCTGGAATGAAAAATTATTTTGAATTAAACATCTAATATTCAGATATGTATAAATTGTAAGGCCTGTTTATCCATAGGAGTTTAAAATCCGAAATGATGAGCAATAAAGTTTTAATGTTGTCTGGTGAGGTTTATTACTTTACAATTGTTAGCACTACTGCGAAATGGGTAATTCAAATAAAGATATATATATATATGGCAATCATAATAAAAATTCTCAACGTCTCGTGTTAAAAATAATCTTGCGAACGTCATCGCAATGCTCAAATGTTAATATTATAAGTTTTCTTGAGTAAATATTTGCTTTTTATATTAATACAAAACGTATAATTGTAAAAAAAAACTGCACGATCGTAAGGCGGTAAGTAATTATTTTTGTAATTGTACCTATCATAGTAACTAACTTTTTTCTACGGCTGTGAGTAATGTCTCATTATCAATCAAGCTTAGTTATACTGACAGTGCATATAATGGTCTGAAATTGTGTGATTCTAGTCAAGTATTTTTTATTTGGAAATAAACCTAGTAAAATAATTCATTCGTAATATAGTTGAAAATTGAATTAATATAATAAGCCAAATTACTTTTATTATAACTGAAGATTAAATTAACCCTGGACAAATTACTTTTATTACAATTGAAGATTAAATTAACCCTGTAAAAAAAATTCACTTTTACAATATTAACATATGTTTTATTATTTTATTTGTGGGTAACGTATAACATTGGTTAATTAAATATTTTCTTTTTCTGTAACCCCCCCCCCCAGTGGCACAGCGGTAAGTCTGCGGACTTACAACGCTAAAAATCGGATTTCGATACCCGTGGTGAGGCACAGCACAGATAGCCAATTGTGTAGCTTTGTACTTAATAACAAACAAACAAACTAACTAACTAAAAATTACCGTTACTGTAATTGGGAATTAAGTTCGTTTTGGATTTCGTACAAAGCTACACGAGGGCTGTCTGCTTTAGCCGTCCCTAATCTATCAGTGATAGACGAGAGGGAAAGCAGCTAGTCAACACCACTCATCGCCAACTGTTGGGCTACTCTTTTACCAACGAATAGTTGGATTTACCGTCACATTATAACGCTCTCATGGCTGAAAGAGCGAACATGTTTTGTGACGGGGATTCGAACGCACAGATTGCGAGTCGAGCGCTCCAACCTTCAGGTCATGAGGAAATTAAGCAACTCAATAAAAGAGCTCGTTTCCACTATAGTTGATACTAGATTAAATTAGTAAAATAATTTATTTCGTTTTTGTTAAAGCTGTAAATTAAGCCGCTTTAGTTAAATAAAACCTGCATTATATTTTAAGTAATAGAAGTAACTTAGTAAAATAATTGTAACTTATTGTAGCTAAAAATAATGTAAAATAACCCGTTCTTTATTGTAACTGATGTCTGATGTAAATTTGGTAGTTTTAGAATATGAGTTAACAATTACTTTCATTATACCTTCGAACTATGGCCTGGCGTGATCTGAGGGTTATGGCACTCGACTCTCAATCTGAGGGTCGCGGGTTCAGATCCCTATCACCGAATATGCTCGCCCTTTCAGCCGTGGGAGCGTTATAATGTGACAGTCAATCCCAATATGGGTTGGTAAAAAAGTAGCCCACGAGTTGACAGTGGGTGGTGTTGATTAGCTGCCTTCCCTCT